AGGATATACTGAGGGGCAGGATCATTAGTACCGCAGCGAGATAGGGGTCAGTGAGAGGATATACTGAGGGGTAGGGTCATTAGTACCGCAGTGAGATTGGAGGCAGTTTAACAGCTGCAGCTTCAGGTTACCACTGACTGGGGAGAAACAAACAAATGGTGAGATCATGAAGAAATGGTACATTGAATACTGTGTGATTTTTAAAAGTGGGTTTATTGGAAGAAGGATTAACTGAAACAGAGCAGGAATAAGTAAAAGTGAAAGGCGGGACTAATACATTATAGTAATATAGGTAAACAAAGTAGGGCAAGGGAAATAAAGTTAGCACAAGAGGAGAAAGTTTAAGACTAAGTAAGCTTATGTTTAAAACATGGTGCACAGATTGGTCAAGTGGAACGTGTAACGTGTAATACTTGGAAACTCAGGGACACTGACAGGATCCTAGACAACCATACACTCAGGAAGTGCATCCACCTGCAGCAACATGGGCGCTCGATTTTGGAGCTTGAGTGCTGACTGGAGACACTGCACCACATCACAAAGCTGAGAGTTACACGGATAGCACATTCGGAGAGGTGGCCACACTGCAGCCTGGAGGAAGGAAGGAAATGCGTGACCACCAGACAGTCCAAGAGAAACCAGCAGATAGTACAGGAGCCCCTGGCATCCTGCTCATAAATCAGTTTTCTATTTTGGAAACGGGTAAGGGCACTGGTACCTCAGGCGAGTACGGTCAGAGCTACGACTGCAAGAGGCTCAGCATTAGCTGTTGTTTTAGAAGTGCAATAGGGATAAGGGATTCATTAAGGGGGGAAATAGACAGGTGGTTCAGTGACTGTCAATGTTACTCCAGGACAATATATTGCCTGCCTGGTGCCAGGGTCCAGGATGTCACAACATTTTATTTCATGCACAGGTCACCTGGGTCTCCCTACGTTGCACTTTATTGGAGTCTTTCTCCATTTAAATAACAGTCTGCCTTTCGATTGTATGAGCACACACTTCCCTACATTAAACTCCATCTGCCATGTAAATCCCGGGGATCCCGGGTGTGATCCTTTGATCTTTACTGATAAATTCTGTGTCTGATGCTACCACTCTCACTAACATCTGAAGGAGGAGTGAGGCTTTGAAAGCTTGTGTTTTCAAATAAACCTGTTGGACTATAACCTGATGTTGTGTGATTTCTGACCTTATCCTACCTATGTCATTGGTACATACATACTGGGGAGGCAATAGCCTAGTGGTATTATTGCTGGGCTGTTAATCCAGAGACCCAGGTAATGTTGTGGAAACCTGGATTCAAATCCTGCCACGTCAGATGGTGGAGTTTGAATTCAATAAATATCTGACATCATGAATCCATTGCCTATTGTCAGAAAAACCCATCTGGTTGACTTGTGTCCTTTAGGGAAGGAACCTGCCATCCTTACCTGGTCTGGCCTACATGTGACTCCAGACCCACAGCAATGTGGTTGACTCTGAACTGCCATCTGGGCAATTAGGGATAGACAATAAATTCTGTCCTAGCCAGCGATGCCCTGATCCCACGAATGAATAAAGAAAAAAAAATACTTGGACTATAACAAGTGGAACCTCGCACTCCTACTTCCATTCTCCTCCCAGAAGAGATGTCTTGAACCTTGGCACCAGGTAGGCAGCAATATCTATTCCCCTAACCATACTGTCCCCTTTTACTCTTACATTTCCTTTCATCTACCACCCCACCTCCACCCCGACAACTTGACAGGCACTCTGAACAATGATGCTGCAGTCAATTTGCTCATCATCCATGCAGTCTGTACACTCATTAAAACCTCATTCCTATTGGACAAGGGCACTGGCTAAAGTTCCTCCAAAGCTAAGTTTTGGATTCTGTACCTGCCTCAATCAAAATCACACACTCCTGTCCTTGACTACAGATCAAGTTTGATGGGATTATTTATCTAAGGGCTGTGACTGGCTCCTGAAACAGTGTCCAAGTACCTCTCCCACTTCCCGATGTCTCACAATATCCACAACTTAGACTTCATCTCATCAGCTCTGAGCTGAAGGAGATTGAAGGGAGATTTAATGAAAAAATTGTACTTAATTACTACAGGCTTAGAAAAGTTAACAAGGAAATCTCTTGCCTTTAGCTGATGGCACAAGGATTAGGGACACAGACTTAGCATTTTGGACAAAAAGTACAGGGTTGGAAGGGATAAAAAGAATTTTGCTTCAACCCAATGAGTAATTATGACCTCAAACTTGTTGCCTAGGTGACAACGTATGATTTGAAATGTGAATTGAATGGACATTTAATAGCAAAAGAAATAAACTTGCAAAGCTGCAGATATAAGAGCAGAGGAATGGAATAGAACAAATTGCTCTTCGGAAAGTTGGCATGAGCTCGATGAGGTGAACAGCTTCCCTCTTGACATACTGTCCCCACAGCAATATTATCGAAAAGGACAATATTAGGTTGCAAATCTGTGCTAATGCAAAAGCTAGTTCTACATCATCACAATCTCTCACAATCACTCTATCACCTTAATAAGTACTTGTCTGATATCAGTCCTGGAAGAGTAGATATTGTTTTTAGTCCCTGCCTCAAACACAAATTGCTAATCACTGGTTCCATGCCTTTCTTAGTCCACTGTCTTGAGGCTGGACTTGAAGATTTGTAATGCTCATATCCTATTTAATCCCAAAATGAACACCCAATCCCACATCTGCCACATCACCATGACTCTCTGCCTAAACCCCAAAAGCCACCAGTATCTGCTTCTACTTCAATTTATTTGCTGCAGAAACCCTTATTCACACCTTTGAGAGCTCTAGATTTGCCTATACAAGTGCTATCTTGGCCAGCTTTCAACATTAAGCTCTCTTATAAACTAGAACTCATCTAAATTTCTGCTGCCCTCATCATCACCAGCACCAATTCCCATTCACCCAGCAATTATACTTGTTTGGCCTCAAATAGCTTCCAGTCTAATAGCACTGAAGCAAACCCACCTTGGCTTTGACCCTCCCCATCTCTGCAACCTCTTCCAAACCTACAACCTTCTGAGATCTGTGTTTCTCGAACTCTGACCTCCCCAAATTAACCATTGCACTAATGGCAGTCATTCTTCAGTTATCTGGGACCAAATCAATGGACTCTCATCCCTAAGCTGCTCAACTGCTTTCTTTTCTGCATAATGCACTCCTTAGCTGTTACTTTGTTGATCAAGCTTTTGATCACTTATCCTAATATCTCCTTACATGGTGCAGTGTTAAATGTTGATTGATAATATTCAAATTGAATATCTTGGGATGCTTTACTATGGCTTAGGTTTCATACAAATGCAGGCTCATCATACTTTTCTCAAAACCTTCCTTCTTGAAAGCCTACAGTTCTTTCTGCAATAGGTTCTACAGGTCACTACCATTGTAAAACTCCCTTTCAACATAAATAGGAAATAATTACTCACCCATCTCACTAAATGCAAGTTAAATATAAAGCTACAGAATGCTTTCGAGCAGACATATTTTGCTAAATGTAAGAGAAAACCTACGGCAGCCAGTTTCGTCCGATTTGTCTTTGCAGTCTATGCCTCCATCACATTTCCAGTTCAGGTGGATGCACTCGCCGTTGTTGCATTGAAATTCATTTGCTGAGCAGGCATTTGCAGGCACTACCTTGTGGCCACATCTCTCCACACTCTCATCCGATCTGTCGGGGCAGTCAGGGTCATTGTCACAGGCCCACAGCAAGGGGATGCACATGGAGTTGTTGCATTGGAACTCATGGGGTCCACAGGTAGACGGAAGACAGTGCTGCTCCTCTGTGCCATCCCCACAGTCGTCATCACCATCACACACAAACGTCATGGCAATGCATTTATCATTGCCACATTGGAATTCATTGTTTGGGCAGGTCTTCTGATCTGGGGGTGGGTGGAGGGGGTGGAGATTGTGAGAAAGAGAGGAGGAGGGGCAGAAGAGAGAGTAAACTTGATCAAGTTTAGTATGCCACAAAAAGGAAGCTTTTCAAAAATTATGCCCCTTAAAGACTGTCCCCCAAACACTCACTCAACTTTCAAAATTTCTCTTCTCCTCTTCTGTATGCATTGAATGATGCTGGAGGATGGGCCCAGCAGTCACATGCTTTCTCAAGCACTCCCTCAGAGGGACATTCATCTAGAGTGCTTGAACCAGAACTGCTGGCAGCTATTGAACTGTTGAGTCTAATCCTCTCCTCACATGGAGTCTGCATGAACAATTTGCAGCACAAACCCCTGGATAGTAATCAGTAAGGATTGCCTTCCTGAATCAGCTCATCCAGTTGTTGAGGCCAACTGTTGTCCCACTGGCATCAGTCACACATGAGCACCTGCATCTCAATTCTCAGTTTAATGACTCCTGAGTGATTCTGGACTTAGCCCATGAGAAGCACAATAATGTCAGAGAGAGAGAAATTATAATCGGACCTGTAAATTAGCACAGCAGAATCATAGGAAAGACAATTAGGCAAAACTAATTGATTTAATAAATCACTTTCTTTCAGTGAATCATTCAAAAAAACCATCTCAGAGGTGAAACAGTTCTGCAACAAGCTAATCAACCATCTGTTAGACTTGATCAAAGTCACAAGGAAATATTTAGCTGTAAATATATACATGAGAGAGAGAGAGAGAGAGATAAGGTATTGTCTATAACTTATTTTATTAAAAAAATATATCTTTCTATTTGTGCTCTTCAGAAACATACTGACTGTTACTTGTTCGATATTTACCAAGCTGCTAACTGCCCTCCTGGAACCAGTCCACCAAAGGTATCCCAATCAAAGCTTTCACCCTGTTCTCACCAGACATCAAAACATGCTCCCCCTCTACTTGCCATCACGGAGAGCAAAAACCTTCTCCTTAGCGCAAGAGCCAGATGAACTTCTCCTTGGATGGCCTACTTCAGTACTATCAAAGATAGAATGTGGAATCTTCTGTTCTGTACGGCTCAATACTCCATGTATAGTCATTAATTTATAGAATACTAGCAGATTCAAGGTAAGGGTTCAGGGCCACAGCCTCAACCAAAGTTCACAAGATGGTATTTCTCACACTCACCATCTGTACAATTCAACTCGTCGATTCCACTTTCACAGTCCTTCTCACCATCGCACTGCCACGACACTGGGAGGCATCTGTTACTGTCACAGCCAAATTTGTCAGGTGGACATGTAAATTTATCTATACCACATGGGAAAGAAAAAATCCTGAGTGCATTTGCTCCACAGGTGAGCAACTCTGCTGTTTAACTTTTCTTTTCCAGTCTAGATTCTTTTGGGCTTCTAGGACTTAGGAAATTCTAAGGAAAGGTTTAGTATCAGCCTAAATCATTGGGTCCAGCATATCCTATGCTGCAATGTAGATTTCACTCTCTTCCAGAGTTTGAATGAAGCTTTAAAGCCTATAGTGCAACCTAACACAGAAGTCAAAGTAAATCAAAAAGCCAGAAATTAAGGTTGTGGGTAGGAGGTATTGGTGAAATTAGAGGTTAGTGCCAAGTTACAGATTCAAAAACTTTAAGACTTTAGAGGCAAAGAAGGGAGTGAGAGGTGTAAGCAAATCAGATTTCTGGAACAAATGAGTTTGAGCATGAGTGTTTATCCTTGATTTCAGCAGTTGGGAGAGAAGTGAAGGAGGAAAGTAGAAGGTTTCTATTATGTTTTCATTGTAGATGGTCATAACACCATAACTTCTAGTAGCTATTGTATAAGTTGTGAGGTTGAACTGTTCATTAATGTTCCTGCTCGCTTACTGACACTAAGCTGCACTACACCTTAACAACTGAATTGACAATTTACCAAGAATGTTTAATACAAAGATTTCCAGCCAACAAAGCTTCCAATGTTGATCTAAGCTCAAAAGTGGTTTAAACAGATAATTGGTGATGAACACATCATGCTGAAGGCCAGGATCTTCCACAGATTCTCAGAGTGTACTTCATATGGCTTCAGGTAAATCCTCATCTGCTGCATCAAGGCAACATTTTAAACCATAAAAATGGAAGAAAGAGGTAAAAGGGACACTAGTCAATTGTAAGAGTGTTCCCCGAGGAGGGATGGAATAAAGTGTATAGATACTTTGAATCAGAGATAGTAGGAACTGCAGATGCCGGAGAATCCGAGACAACAAGGTGCAGGGCTGGATGAACACAGCAGGCCAAGCAGCATCATAGGAGCAGAGAGGCTGACGTTTCGGGCCTAGACCCTTCATCAGAAAAGGGGGAGGGGAAGGGGGTTTTGAAATAAATAGGGAGAGAGTGGGAGGCGGATAGAAGAGGGATAGAGGAGAGGATAGGTGGAGAGGAAACAAACAGGTCGAAGAGGCGGGGATGGAGCCAGTAAAGGTGAGTGTAGGTAGGGAGTTAGGAAGGGGATAGGTCAGTCCAGGGAGGACGGACAGGTCAAGGGGGCGGGATGAGGTTGGTCGGTAGGAGATGGAGGTGCGGCTTGAGGTGGGAGGAGGGGATAGGTGGGAGGAAGAACAGGTTAGGGAGGCAGGGACGAGCTGGACTGGTTTTGGGATGCGGTAGGGGGAGGGGAGATTTTGAAACTTGTGAAATCCACATTGATACCATTGGGCTGCAGGGTTCCCAAGCGGAATATGAGTTGCTGTTCCTGCAACCTTCGGGTGGCATCGTTGTGGCACTGCAGGAGGCCCAGGATGGACATGTTGTCTGAGGAATGGGAGGGGGAGTTGAAATGGTTCGCGACTGGGAGGTGCAGTTGTTTGTTGCGAACCGAGCGTAGGTGTTCTGCAAAGCGGTCCCCGAGTCTCCGCTTGGTTTCCCCGATGTAGAGGAAGCCACACCGGGTACAGCGGATGCAGTATACCACATTGGCAGATGTGCAGGTGAACATCTGCTTGATGTGGAAAGTCTTCTTGGGGCCTGGGA